AAAAAAAAAAAAAAAAAAAAAACAGGAAAATGGGAGTGGTAAAATACATATACCTGGCTTCCCTGAAAGGGAAAAAAAATCTTACTTGGTAAGAAACTTACATCCTCTATTTTTCTAGATGATGTTATTTCCCAGAAACAACCAGGATATTTATCATCCCAGAAGTTACTGACATCCTTCCCTTTCGGAAGTATGTCCTCTGTGTTTTTAGGGGGAGACAGTATATTAAATCAATTATATATAATTAATGATATATTCATAAAATGTATGTTATTAACTCTGGGAGAGGCAATACTTAGGGCTAAAAGAAGCCTTGAACTTTTTGTTCAAGAGCAAAACAATTCACATAATATGTTTCTTATGATAACTAAATCTCTGATTCCTGTAATAATCAATGAATTGACTCATTATTTTGTCTTTCATAGATATAAGTATACAGTTATGCTCAGCCCAATCTCGTTGTATCCTTCTAGAGAAGCAACTAGAATATACTAAGAGAATGGTTCTCAATGTAGAGCGAGAAAAGAATATGATCCTAGAACAACAGGTGAGCATATTTTTTATAAGGAATGATAATATAACTGAATGTGTTTTAGAAGAATATTTAATAGCATGGGAAAATTACATTATAATCTTAGGTAAAGTAGGATATAAAGCTGTATATAGGAGATTTGCACTAATAGTAATGACAGACCAGGTCATCTGGACAAACCCTACTAAAGAGAAAAACTAGGCAGAATATAGGAAGGGAGGGGGAAAGGAGAGAGAAGGGAGGAAGGAGGGAAGAGACATAAGGATACAAATTCAGAGAACAGAGGATGAGTCATAATGTTAGAGTAACAAGGTCTAATTTCTTTGTAATTGGAGTTTTAAAAGGAAAAGAGAGGGAGAATGGGACAGAAGCAATATTTGAAGAGATAGTGGGTGAGAATTTTTCAAAATTGATTAAAAAGTAAAACACACTACAAATTTCAAGAAGCCCTCTAAAACAAAAGCAGGATAAATATAAGGAAAGCTATACATAGATACCTTATAACAAAAATAAGTATAAAACAAAAATAAGTATAAACCAAAAATAAAAACTTAAAAACAGCAAGGAAAAAAAATGACATGAACAGGGACAACAATTACTGTGATAGCTGACTTCTCAACTGAACATGCTGAACCCAGAAAACAAAGGACTAAGACAGCTAAGGTCTTAAAAGAAAATAACTGGTGATCTAGAAATCTATGCCTGGGTAGAAATATCTTTCAGAAATAAAGATAAAATAAAAACACTTTGAGACTAACTAAGGGAGATTGAGATAATTTGTTACTAGTTGGAATACTCTAAAGGGAGCACTAGAGAACATTAATCAGACAGAGGAAAATTATCTTTGGTGGAAGGTCATAGGCGCAGGAAGAAATGAAGAGCAGCAAAGACAAGTATGTGGGTGAATCTAAGTGAACACTACATAAAACAGGAATCCTTTATGTGGTTTAAATTATACCATCTATAAAGGATTAAAATTCATCATGTAGCCGGTGACGCCTATGGCTCAAAGGAGTGGGGTGTGGGCCCCATATACCAGAGGTGGCAGGTTCAAACTCGGCCTCAGCCAAAAAAATAAAAAAACAATCATCATATAAGATCCTTACATTGTCTTGGGAAAGTGCAAAATGATACTGGATGGATGGGTCAAATATGTTACAGGTTGAAAGGAATAGAGAGGTTGACTCTAAAATTTATTTGGAAAAGCAAGGGCCAAGAACAGGTAGACTATTCTGAAGAAGAATAAGATAAGCGCCTTTCTCTACTGGATGTTGAAATAAATTATGTTAGCAAAATTGAGATAGTAGTAGTATTTGTCTAGATAAACAACTAGAATAAAGGAATAGAATATAGTCAGAAACAGATCCACTCATAGGGAAATTCAGTATATGACACGGATGCCATTTCAGACCATTGGGGAAAGCCTCTAAGAATTTTATAATGTTTTGATGCTTTATGAGTAGTATTTTGCATTTTATTTCATTTGTATTTGTCTGATACTGATATTTAAAAATTGTTTTTGGTGAGACTTTATATCCTGAGGCCTTTCTAAATTTATTTTTTAGTTCTAATAGTTTTTCACATTTTGTAAGACTTTTTTTGCATACACAATCATGTCATCCATGAATAAAGACAGTTTTGTTCTTCTTTTCCAGTCTTTATGGCTCTTACTTCTTTTTCTTACCTTACCACACTGGCTCTTATAGCTAATGTAGTGTTAAGTAGAAGTGGTAAGTACTGACATCCTTGTGTTGTTCCTGATCTTTAGAAGAAAGCTACCCATCTTTAACTATTAACTATGAGATTATTAATAACTATAGGTTTTTGTTAGTAGCCCTTTATCAACTTATGGAAATTACCTTCTATTTCATCATGAATGGGTATCACATTGTGGCAGTTGCTTTGTTTGTATTTATTGATTTTTTCCTTTTATTCTTTTAATGTGGTAAGTTACATTGATTGATTTTCACATGTTCACCAGCCCTGTATCCCTGGGATAGATGATCTCCAGTTGATCTTTATATGTATTATTATTTTTCTACAGGGCTTGATTCAATTTGTTGATATTTTGCTTAAGTATTTTTGTGACTATGTCCATGAGGGATCTTGATTCTTAATTTTTTTTTTTGCAATTTTTGGCTGGGGCTGGGTTTGAACCCACCACCTCTAGCATATGGGGCCGGTGTCCTAATCCTTTGAGCCATAGGCACTGCCCAATTCATATTTTTTTTAGTGTCCGGTTTTGGTATCATGGGTGTCTCACCTCAGAAATTAGTTGGGAAGATTCCTTCTATTTTCTGAAAGACTTTATGTAAGATTAGTATTATTTCTTTCTTAAATGTTTTATGAAACGCAACATTTCTTTGTGGAGGTTTTTAAATTATGAATTTAAATATTATATTTTGCAATTAAAGCTATCAGTTTTCTTTTAAACACTGAGTCCCACAAATTTTGATATTTTGTATTTTTGCCTTTCAGTTATTAAGAAAAATATTTTCTGACCTTTTTTTGGTGATTTCTTTTCCAGTTCTGTTATTTTCTTCCCTTTGTCCTGGTCCTCTTCCTCCTCCTCTTTAATAGCTGCTCTGGGGACTGGGGACTAAAATCTGCATTCTTAAATTACCATAGTCTTCCATGAATTCAAATTAAAATATCTCACATACAAGATCCTTTCCAGGATATGCCCTACTTATCCCTCTTTGTGCTACAGTTTCCATATAGTTTATGAAATAAATATATTTCATATTTATTATTCTTTAAGAATAATAAATTATTCTTTAAAGAAAATTATTCTTAATTATTTGTTAAAGAAAATTAAGAAATAAGACAACATAGGCTCGGTGCCTGTGGCTCAAGTGGTTAAGGCACCAGCCACATATACCTAAGGTGGCAGGTTTGAATCCAGTTCAGACCCCCCAAATAACAATGACGGCTGCAACCAAAAAATAGCTGGGCGTTGTGGCGGGCGCCTGTGGTCCCAGCTACTTGGGAGGCTGAGGCAGGAGACTCACTTGAG